ATACGTCAAAGTTTTAACTCAGCAGTTTGTTTAATTAATTTATTTATATCTGCCTTGTTCCAAAAAGGACTCGTGGTGGCTCACTCTCCTTGGAAGTGCTCACGGTGTAGTGGACCAAGGTCCCGGAATGGGCTCTGGTCCTGCAAGTCTACTTCCTGGTTGTGTGACCTTGGGCTTGTCACCCTCCCTCCCTCACCTCCCCACCCACCCCATTAGCTTTCATTACTATAAAATGAGGACTTCGGACTAGGTGTCCCCTAGTCTGGGCACAGTCTGTGCTCAAACTACAGGCTGCAGCCTCCGTGTAGAGAGGGTGCAAGGCAGAGAAGTGAGGATGCTGGGAGGGAAATCATGTCCCGGATGGGGCCAAGTGGCCCTCGGCTGGGCCCTTGGGTTTAGCACCCAGGCAGCAGAGTGAAATGATGTAGAGGGCAGGCTCTGGAATCAGACAGACCTGAATTTAAATCCTGACTGTCATTTACCAGCTGCATGGCCTTGGATAGGCTACTTAATCTGTCTTGGCCTCAGTTTCCTTAGCTTTAAAAGAGGTGTCACAGTATTTACCTCCCAGGGTTGTTAGGGGGCGGTGGATTAAATGAGCTGTGTAAAGTTCAGCAATGCCATGTAATAAGCTCTTGGTATTGTAACTGCTAATGGATGGTGTCTGGGCAGGGGACAGCAGGACAATATATGGAGACCAACTAGGACACGGCTCCTTCCTTGGTCTATGGGGTCTTACTAAACCTACAGCAACCATATTTTCCAACCTCAGTCTAAAAACATGGCCTGAGAGTGGAGAAGGATATTGGAAATCAGAACTGTTTCAGAAAGCTCAGGCCATATGGCCACCATACTCCAGCCCTCTTCTTGGAGTCCTTGAAGGGGTGGTCTTCTTATCCCATCAAGGTGAAGGCCGGGAGCCTCCTCCCATCGTTTAGGAAAGACTTTCCCTGGAACCAGCTCCCACCACGGGCAAATAGGCCCATTTTGTGCTGACTCTGCTCTCTGAGACCAGGGCTTTGGTGTGGGGAGTCCAATACAGAGGCCATCTGGGCCCTATTCCCAAGGAACCTCTCTTACCTGCTTTGGATGGCAATTCTGTGGCTCCAAGGTTAGGTTCTGTTTTTAATTGGGAATATGGTGTTGTTCTCTGTCCTTGGGTAGAGGATCTGTAGGTGGGCAGGATGGTGTTAATGAGAGCAGGAAGGGCCTCCTGTGGACCAGAGTCCCTGCTTCCAGAAGCTAACAAGCAGTGGGGGTGAGTGAAATGGGACATAGGTCTACCCAGGGGCCGCTGAGAGCTAGGAATGCGAGGGACTTGCCTTGCAAAGATGCCAAGCCAGTCAGGTTGCCAGTCCAGAGACCTTCTGCCAGGGTTCTGGCTTGAATGCTCCTAGGAGACCTCATTCACTTATTCAGTCATTCATTGAGTACCAACTGTAAGCCCAGCTCCGTGCCTGGCCCTGGAGCTCCAGAGATGTGTCGGTCATGGTCCCTGCCCACAGGCGCTCACAAGGGGAAGGATGCTACCTAATTACTCACAGCCTCTCCTTCCCTGCTCACTCTGAAGCCTCCTCCTCTCTTTTAGCCCAGCTCTGCCAAAAGGGGCTTTAGTACTTGAATTTGCTGCAGCAGCGTCATAGCCCAGTTCCACCCCTTCTCTGCTGTCACCTCTGAGCCGACCCGTGGGCAGTCCCACTCTGAGCTCTCCCCCTCCGTTCTCCTGAGGAGGTCCCTTTGAGTGGTGGGCACAGACAACCGCTTCTTTTTCTCTTCCTTTCCTAGTCTTTTCTTCTGTGTTCTCTTGTCCTTTCTGCTCCTCCTCTACTCTCTTCTCCTTTTCTTCCTCCACCCCCCACCCTCTTCTAGGCCCTGGGCTGCCCTCCTTAGTGGGTACCCAGGCTGATGGGGAGACAGAGCCAGCAGGTTTATTCGATGGCAAATGCCCTCCTCCCAGCCAGCGCTGCCCTGGGCTCCCTTTCTCCTCTCTTTGTGCCCTTTCTCAGACTCTCCCAACCTCCTTTCCTAACCCCCTTCCCACCCTCTCTGCTTACCTTCATTCCTCTCTTCCTTCCCTAGCTGAAGGAAGGGTGCCACCCCATTCTCTGGAGGGAGCCCGGGAGAGCCTAGGGGCCCTTTGGCTGATTTGGGAGGGCCGCCCCTCTCCCCCACCAGTCATGCCGCTGCCCTCTCCCTGCCCCTGTGGCTCTCCTCCCTGATTGCCCAGAACTTTCCATGTGCTCCTTCATGATTTGTCTTTACTGCTGCCTCTCCCCCTTTCCTCACCTTCCTTCTATCTTTGGGGAGTTTCCTCAAGCCTCCAGCAGCCTCTCTTAGGGGTTCTCCGAATGCTTTCTTCATGCCAGCTTGCTGTGCTGCACCTCTAGCACCTCCTTTCTTTTCCTCTCCCACACCCCTTCCTTCTCCTTCCCTGTCCCCGCCTCCCACCGCCACCTCTGCCTGGAACGGGCTTCCTTTTGCCTTCCTTTCCCCTCCCCGTTTCTCTCCATTGCTGCCTCTGTAACCTGTCTTATCACCAGGGCCTGAGTGTACAAAAAAATAAATAAATAAAAAGGTCAGTGAGTAGAGGGAGCAGCAATAACCCCTAAAACAGTACTATCAGTGGAACATGATTGATCAATTGAATTCCATAGCGGCTGAAAAATGTGGGATTAAGTAGTGTATTATACGCACAATGAGTTGAGGCATGATGTTCATTTCAAGTTCATTTCGCCGGCCTCTGCCACCAGATCAGGCAATCAATAGGGGCAGCAGATATCATATATCACCTCTCTGCGGGCTGGGGAGAGAGCACCATAATCTCTCGCAAATTTAGAGTGACAGATTTGTCAAGATCTGAAGGGCCCCTGAATAAATGAAGGAAAAGAGACTCCTCCAGCCAGTGACCTGAGGACAAAGCTTCAGTTCAGCCCCTACAGACACACACACACACACACACACACACACACACACACACACGGGTTTGGTCAAGCCACACACAGGCATATTCACAAATCTACACAGAGGCATGGTATGAGTCTCGCCACACACATGCACACATCCATACACATGATGTGTGGGCAGCCTCTCGCAGACAAGTGCACACTCTCCTTCCCAGGCCCACTGGTGACATGGCAACACAAAGACACTCTTACTGCCTCCCTCAGTCCTAACAGCCAGGCTTCCCACAAAGGTAGGAGGACTCTAGCAAGGAAGAATAGATCCAGTGAAACATGCAAATAGCTACAAGGGGTGGAATTAGGATGATGGCACAGGGACAGGAGAACATGGGGGACGTGGGCTCCTGCTCCCCATGCAATGACACATGCACACACACACACACCTTTTCAGAAAAGTTCTCACTCTGTCACTTACACATACCCAGACGCTTATGTATGTGGATGTTTATATGTGTAGAGATGCATCTACACAGAGAATACTCACACAAAAGGGAAAAATAAATATGCCACACCCTAACAGAAAATCATTGTGGAGGCTTATACAGAAAAAACACAACCACCAAGTTTTGTATCCATAGTAACAGGGCACATAGAAACACCATTGAGGCTGTCTCTATGTCTGTTTGTCCTCCATAGACTTGATCCTGGTTTTCATATCTCTCTCTCTCTCTCTCTCTCTCTCTCTCTCTCTCTCTCTCTCTCTCTCTCCCTTTCCCTCTCTCTCTCTTTCTTCGCCCCTCAACACACCCACTTTCTTTGCTTGCCCACCCCCGCCAGAATAAAATGGAGGGATGACAGGAGGTCGCATTAAGAAAACAGACCCCCATGCTCCGTCTGAGAGGCCAGCAAGAAAGGGTAGGACGGCTGCAGGTTGAGGTTAATCAATATGTAATATTTTCTATGTTCTCCTGAATGATACTGTACGGTGTTACTGTATATAATGCAATATTGATTATATCATATCGTATAATCACCTATAAACTGATATATATAACAGTCCCAGAGGATCATCCTGGGGCCTACAACATGGTCTGGCCCCAGGCCCAAGGCTCCCCAGCTGCTTTTGGCCAAGCTATGGCTGGGGAGAACCCAGCTTTGGTCCAGGGGAGTTACAGGGTGGGGGTTCAGGGAGAGGTGGCAGAGCAGGCACTGGGCTCACTGTATACTCTGACAACTCCTGTGGCCCTGATATGGGAGGGCAGGGAAGCAGGGGAGCAGAAAGGAGAGAAAGCTTAGGGAGGGCAGGGTATGGACAGAGTTGGCCAGCAGCCCCAGGGAGCAGGCACTAATGTGGCCCCACTGAGACCCACAGGAGGAACCAGGTGGCCAGGGAACTGCCTCTGATAGAGGCCTAGCCAGAGTTCGGGTCAGGGACAGAGGCTGAGCAGGGTACCTGGGCACCGCAGCATCCACACAGACTCTGTCTTCAGTCTCTGTCCGAGTTAGCATTTTACTGCCCACCTGCCACCTGCTGTCCTCCTGCTCTGGTCTCAGTCCTGGCCCAGTGCAAGCAACATGCCTCAGCTTGGCTTCAAGTCCCTCCTCCCTCTGTGGTGAAGTTAATTACTTCACCCAGTCTCCATGTTACACTCAGCCTCGGAGATTTGATGATTTTCCACCCTTGGAGTCAGTGGAACTGAAATTCATCTCAGAGCCACGTTCAATTCTCCACAGGCTGGGTCATGCCGGTCCCAGACACCCAGCTCCTCGCCAGGTTGACCCAGACCAGGGGATAGGAGTTCAGGGGAGATGGCCCCTGAGAGCCCTTCTGGCTCCACCTCTGTCTAGTCCTCTGGCCCCCTATCCTGGGACAACTTTCCTGTCTCTCCCCAGCTCCTTCAGAGGCTCTGGCTTTCTGAGCCAGGTCTCTGAGGCATGGCCAGCCTTGGGCCAGCCCCTCCAGCCCCAGAGCTGGGAGTAAGGGGTCCCAGCAGGAGTGCAAAGCCCTAGGGACCAAGCCAGGTGCCCTGCTTTACCCACTGCCCTGCTCTGTGCCTCGCTGGCCTGCACTGATGCTTCGAGTGTCCATGTGTCCCCCAGATGTGTCCGAGGGATCAGTCCCCAATGGAGACTCCCAGAGTGGCGTGGACAGTTTGCGGAAGCACTTGCGAGCTGACACCTTCACCCAGCAGCAGCTGGAAGCTTTGGATCGGGTCTTTGAGCGTCCTTCCTACCCTGACGTCTTCCAGGCATCAGAGCACATCAAATCAGAACAGGTGAGGAAGGCGCTTCCTGGGTGCAGAAGTGGAAAGGACCTGGGCAGAGCAGGCCTCTGGAGAACATGCACAGGGATCAGCCATGTGCACGCCAGCATTGCATGTGCTGCTTATGGATGCACTGTGTGTGGGCCGTGTGAACAGGCTCACACAGCACATTATAGTAGAGTTAGGGCAAACCGTGATGGCATATGGTAGTTAGAAATGGTGAGTTCTGGGTGCGAGTGTGGCCTTGGGTAAGTCTTACTCCCTTCAGAGACTCGGTTTCCCCATCTATAGATGAAGGGCTTGGAGGTGTGATCTGACAGATTCCTTCTGGCCCTGCCATTACCTGCTTCTGGTGTCGAGTACTCAGGAACTTCCTTTTGCCATGTCCCTTGCCTAAATCCTCCTCCCCCCGCGCCCCCCTCCCCCGCCCCCGGGGTCCTACAGAAAGTCTATGCAAGTCCAAGGCACTCTTCTTGCCCAGCTGTCCCTGCCTCCTGCTCCCCGATCCAGCTGTCCGGTGTGATCCCAGGCAGGCTGACAGCCTACCTCTCAGACCCAATACTTCCTGCAGATGCAGAACAACCCAGAACACACAGCATGGGACGCCGCCCACAGCACACCCGCATAATACACAGTGTACAAACACATCTGCTAACTTCTCACATTAACCCTGTGCACATGTTTACCACCACCACCACCCACTGGCTCCCTCTCCCCCACAGCCCACAGTGCTCCCAGTATTCCCCCCATCAGCTCAGCACCCTCCAGCCCCCTTCCACCCACACCTCAGTGTAGCCCACAGTGCACACGCTCAAACACAGGAACACACCCCCATTCCTCCCACACCTACAGCCCATCCCAGGCCCACAACTACAGCACCACACACTCAGCTGCGCTTGCACACACACACGGTGCATGCTCACACACACAGCACATGCACACACACACAGCACACGCGCACACACACACACACACACACCAGCACATAAGCACACGTGTACCAGCGCAGCCCCACGGGCTCCACACAGCACAGTTCTGCTCTAGGACTCCAACAGCTCACAGCCACTCGCCTTTCTCCCCGCCCGTCCTTTTATCCTATAAGCTGTTTGTCTTCATAAAACAAAAATCAAAAGTCTTTTTAAGGTGCCCTGAGCCATAAACCAACAAAGGAGGAGCCGGCCGAGGCAGGAGCCTCGGTGCACCCTCCCTGAGTCCCCGGCTGTATTACAATGAATAACCTTTATTTACTTTCATTAGACTATTAAACACCAGCACAGTCATTTTTCCCCCTGAAACTCGGAGCAGGGCCCATAAAGCAAATCCGAAGCCTAATTGAGTTCATTTTAATTTCTCTCCGATCACAGCGAATTACTCTGGTGATAAATCAGGGGGCAGCTTCACCCCCAGTAGAAGGCCTAATTTGCAGCTAATTACAAAACTGATTTCTACAGGAAGATCAATACGAGAAGGAATTGGAAATGACGAGGCAATCCCGTCCAGCCAGGGAGGGGAGGGGGTCCTCTGGGGGGGGCCAGGAAGCGGAAGGGAAAAAAACGGACCCGAAAGAGCAGAAAATCAGTTTTAATTTAACGTAATATTAATCAGAGCAACTTTTCCTGCTTTGTGCAGGCTCCTGGCCTGCCCAGCTCTGGGGTCTGGCTTGGCGGTGGCTGCAATAAAAAGGCAATTACCCGAGTGTTTCGGGCAGGACACCCTTTCAGAGTCAATGACTGGCCCCCTCCCACCCTTCTGTTAGCCATGTGGACTCTCCCCCTCCCCAATTTCATACCCCAGTGCACAGGCAGAGAGCGAGGGGCCCATGGGGCTGTCTTTGTTTGTTTTTTAAAAAAGGGGCGCCAGCACCCGATCAGCCAGCCCAGCAGTGCCAGGCTGGAGGCCCCACTAGGCCCTTCTGCCATCATGTCATGGTCCACCCCTCCTCCCCAAGGCTCCCCACCCCAGGGGGACCTTAAAACACCCCTTGCCTCTCAGCAGGGGATCCTCAGTGCTATACTCCACCCTTGGGGCTTCCTAGGAAGAGCTGCTACAGCAATATAGAGGGTGCTGGGATAACGACCGATAATGTATAGGCTGCACCTCAGCTTCCCAGTCAGGTCTGCATCCACCCATACAAACTCTCCATCATCCTCCAGCCCGCCCCTCCCACCCTCCCTCCCTCTCCCTGGCCATCTCCTTCCACCCCATCTGGGAGGGCTCCCTGGTCCTCCTCCCCATCTGCACACTGAGCTCTTTCTCCGAGTGTGTGCATCAATAGAGAGCTGTCGCTTTTCTCTCTCCTCCCAGGGGAACGAATACTCCCTCCCAGCCCTGACCCCTGGGCTTGATGAAGTCAAGTCGAGTCTATCTGCATCCACCAACCCCGAGCTGGGCAGCAACGTGTCAGGCACGCAGACATACCCCGTGGTGACCGGTAAGAGGGCTTCCAGGAGGGTGGGAGCATGGCTTTCAGTGGGAGCTCCTCAGCTCAGGGGGACGAGTGGGCCTCCTGCCATATCTGCAGAGAGAGTGAGGCTCCCAAATCCAGGGTGCCTCCCAGATGGATGTGTGCAGATGTGCGGATAAGAAACTGTGGTCAGGGTCTCTGTGTGCTTCCCCCCGGAAAGGGAGGGGGTCGGGGGTCGTTGCTGGCTCTTTCTGCCAATCCTCTCTCTTTGCCTTTATTCTTGCCTCCACCGAGGTGCCCAGCATTATAAGCCTCTAACTAGGATTTGCGCAGGAGAAGGCAGAGAGTAAATAGGCCAGGCTGGCAGGAGGGAGCATGAGTGCCCAGGGTCCAGCCTCCATGCTGCTCTTAGGTCCCCAGGGTTGTTGGGAACCTGTTTTCCTTTCCCACTGGGCAGCCTGGGTGGCTGTGGCTTAGGACATGGCATCCAGCTCTCTGGTTATAGAAAAGCACAATTATCCCAGTGCTTTCCCGGCCTCCCAGAGAAATCACAGAGACCAAGGCTTGATCCAAGGCCAGAGAGGTGGGGCCTGTCCCACAGGCCATGCAGGGTCCCATAATCCGGGTGCTCCATGGACTAGGATCAGCAGAGGCAGCTGGAGCGAAAGAAGGCCGGGATGTGGCGCGGTGAGGGCCAGCCGATGAACGCTAGGCCTCAGAGCTGTCGGCTGCGGAAGGCGCCTGGCACTGCAGAAGGGTTTCCAGGCCAGGGAAGTGCCCAAGTGGGAGAGACACACATTGAGGTGTTATTAAAATTCACCTAATTATTCTGGAGCCACTAAAGGCAATGTGCCGTTTGTTCCTTGGGAGACAGAATGATTGAGAAGGGTCTCGGTGGGGATTGGGAGACACTGAGGCGTTACCTGCCGAGCGAGGAGAGCGGAGGCGGCCTGGGGACCTGGCAGCAGGGTGGCAAGCGTCCAGCATCACAGCCAGTGGCAAGACCAGGAGCAGGCCTGGCCCCGCTCGCTGTAAGACAGGGCCCTGGTTCTGACTTGGAGGTGATCTGAGTATGGCTCAGGCCTGAGATGGGCAGCAGGTGTCCACCCAGCCACCACCTGGGAGGCTGGGAGAGCCCTGTTGTTAGCTTTCCCTCAAGCGGTGTCCTGGTACGACGTTTCCGACCTGGACGGTTTTGAGCTCTGTGGCTAGACAATCAGAGGTTGAGTTCCGGAAGTGTCAGAGAACTGTGTGATCGGGCTTTTGAAAGTGACCATCTTAGCTGGATCAGGACACAGGCTATTATCAATTGACACTTGGCATGAGCTCTCCGTAGCTCAACTTGGAAGCTCTCTGAGCTGCTGGGTATTGTGACCCTAGGCAGGGAGATGGCCCAGGCCAGGCCACCTTTCTCCTGATCTGCCGAGAGTTACGGTGTCACTTCCCATTGGGGCCACCCTAGGTAGCTGGTGTAACAGAGCCCAGGAGACTTTTCTCTAATCCCAGCTGTGCTCCCCTGGGCCCAGGGCCACAGTCCTGAAGGCAGGTGCTTCCTGGGCTGGAGAGATGGAACTTGGGGGCAGGGCTCCTGCTGCAGGAAAACTTGGGCTAGTGGAGAAAAGTCCCTCCACCTTGAGCCTCTCCTGCCTGCCTCCCCCCGCTACCCCCGCCCCCCCATGGCCCTGGAACAGTCCCAGCCCAGCCTGGGAACATCTCCGGCTGATCCATCTGGATCCAAGTGTGAGAAAAGTTCATTTCAGACCCAGCTTGACATTCCCAGGTGGCAAGTTAGCACTAACATCTCAATCTGTATGCGACATTTCAATCAAGCGAGGAGTAACAAAAGCAGAACCATTAACATTCGGAGCTGTTCACCAGTGGTAATGACGGGGAAACTCGCTCAGAAACTGGAAATTACCAAAAAGAGAGAAGTGTGTGGAGATGTGGGGGAGGGGAAGTAGAAGGGGATGGGGGCAGGGAATGATTTTTCTACACTTAGGCCAAGATCCAATGTTTGGATGAATGGTGCCATTACCCGAGAAAGGGCTCCTCATTCTTAAAATGTTTTCGCTGGCAATTAAACGGCTGCAGTTATTGATCTTCGTTGATTTTATGTCCTCCTAATTTGCATAATCTATTAAAGATGAATGATTCATGATGTGTTTATTATGGGGACAAACAGAATTTGCTGAAGGTACTGTCAAGGTGAGAAACAGGGCAGTGGCCAGAGATTTCATGGGCCATCTCAGGAGTGGGTCCAGCAGATTGGCCTTCAGGCCAGGACTTTGTGGGGAGCAGTGAGCAGTGATGCCAGGAGAGCAGACACAGAGTTCTCTAGAAAGATGTGGGCATCTGGGAGAACCAGGCTCCAAGCATGACTGGGATGTGGGAGAGGCTGTGATGTATTTGTAGAAATTCCTTCCCAAGATTCTTGAAAAGCTGACTTTGTTGGTGACTATGAAGGGCTTTGGTGGAGGAAGAAAAGGGAGGCCCTTTCAGGTAGGTGTCTGGCCAGGTGTGTGCTCAATGTGAGCGGGCAGGGGGGCATCCTGTGCCTACAGCCTGGCTTAGGTGTACCAGTTCAAGGAGCCCTCTTCATTCCCCACGTCTCAGGCACCCAGCTCATCTTCCCTGGGGACAGGCAGCTGAAGCTGCAGCCTCCGGGGATGAGTCCTGAGGAAACCAGCCCGGAATGCCCTAGCCTGACTTGAGGAGCCGACCTTATTGATATTCCTGCCACCTCCTGGCACTGGAAGCTGATTTCAAACTTCACCAGCCACTTGATACAGCTGTTCCACAAGGTCAGGACTGAGAGGAGAGAGGAGCTTGGACTATTGTGTGGAGGGGAGAGTGGGCCCAGTGGGCCAGGACACAGCTAATCACATTGCAAGCAAGGGTGGCTGCCAGAGGCTGGGGCTCGGCCCGATAGCCTCCCCTCCCCACCTTCCATCATGGAACCAAGGAGAGAGACCGATTTTTCTGGGTAGTGTTTGCAAGTTCTGCCGAGATTTTAATTTCACTGCATCACAACTCAGCAAGCTGCCAAGTCAAGCTGGTTATTTAAATTTATCACCCACTTTCCCTTCCGCCGCTGGGCTGCTCTAGCTCAGCGGCACCTCTTCTCTCCAGCCCACTGCTCTAGGCTGCTGATCTGGAACGGAGCCGAGTCGCTCCTAAGTGATAAGAAAAAAGGGACCAGCTAGACGAGAGAGTAGGTTGGGGCACTCTGGCCCCAGGCTTCCTCAGGTTGGCTGGCTGTGGCTGGTACCGTCTTCTAACTTCTTATTCTTCCAAAGGACCCCACAGGGAGCCGCCATCAACCCCTCCGTGGTCCCAGGGACCTCTGCATCAGGGCCTCTTCAGTAAGGACTCTGGCTCCAGCTGTGAATTAGTGCCTTCATTCCTTCAAGTCTCTCATCACTGGTAGAAAGAGCCCCTCTTCCCTATGCCCTCCTCACCTTGAACCCTCCCTTCCTGTGCCTGGTCAGTTCTGCAGCCACAGAGGAACATGAGGGGACACTGGCATTAATGTTGATCTGGGTGAAGAGGAGTACTAGTTTCAGGATTCCCAAAGTCCCTTGGAGATGCTTCTGAGCATTTAGAGAGTCGCTTGGCCTGGTGAAAGTCCACCCCGAAGGTGGAGCTGAATGGAATGAGATGGTGCTGGAGAGCGTTAGGGCTGTGCGGAGGCTCTGCCTGCTCACTCTAGAAGCTGAGGAATACACCGGTCTCCGGAGCTATTGCACTGAGCGGCCGTCACTGGCCTGTAGTGTGCATCACTGTCACGCACTGGGAAAGCTTCATGCAAATGTAGTTCTCACCACTTCATCTTAGTCCCAGAGAGGTAATGGAGGAGTGAGACTGAGTTCCAGAAGCAAGGAAGGTGAAACTCACCAAAACACAGCTGGGTAAAACATAACAAGAATTGTTTACACATGACCAAGCCTCACTCTCTGGTACCAGAAATAGAGGGAAACTCAAAGCCAGAGCAGTATGTGAGGGGCTGTTGGTATCATACTGGAGGCTGGGGTTGAACAAGGGCAAACTTTTTCTGCAGAGACATTCCCCAATCCAGGGCACCTGGGACTCCCACAGGGAAAAAAAATCCACCAGTAGAGATGAGCTCACTATAAAAAATTACACACCTCATATCAACACACACTATCACGAGGAAAGTTCACAGAAGCAATAATTAGGACAATTAATACCCCCTAGCACTGGAGAGCATAGATCAGTGATGGCGAGCCTTTTGAGCTCGGCGTGTCAGCATTTTGAAAAACCCTAACTTGACTCTGGTGCCGTGTCACATATAGAAATTTTTTGATATTTGCAACCATAGTAAAACAACGACTTATATTTTTGATATTTATTTTATATATTTAAATGCCATTTAACAAAGAAAAATCAACCAAAAAAATGAGTTCGCGTGTCACCTCTGACATGCGTGTCATAGGTTCGCCATCACTGGCATAGATCAATGCAAAGCAACTATAAAATAAGCATATTTAATATTCTAAAAAAGATAAGAGAAATATAGTTTTGTGATTATCACAGATTTGGATCCTACTTCCCCTTCCCCACCACTGCTCAGTAAATTGTGAGATATGGAGATAATAAAGGATTTTAAAAAATGAAGACCACACCTATAGCTTATTGTTTTGGAATTCGGGAGCCATGGAAAGGGATGAGCCTCAAGTAGCTTTTCAAGTAAAGTCTGTCCCCTGCTTAGCAGCCAAGCTTCCAGACAGCTAAGTCTCAGCAGAGAATCTTCTATTTTCTTTAGGAAAATGTCTGAATGTTGGAAATAATGACAAGGGCAGTGCATTCCTCCCCAGTGGTATGGGGGCCTTCTTAGCTTCCCACGCTGGTGGGAAGAAGGTAGTTTTATTCAAGAGCTTGGAAGAGACTTCTCTGGATGCCTAGAGAGAGACTGCAGCTCTGAAGGAATCCATAGCTAAGAACCAGGAGGCGATGTGGTTGCTGCCCAAAGCAGGGAGAGGGAGATGCTGGTTTGAGCAGAGGTGGAG